AAACATTTTTCTTTCTTTTACTACGTAAGAAAAACCAAACCAAGCCACAGAATCTACTACTTCCACCTCATTATACAATAGTTTAGAGCCCTGAAGATAGCCATCATAAAACACTGTAACAGGATTTCAAATATAGACCAGGATACAGGTTTAAGACCTTCTTATTCAGTAGACTGCATAACTGCCATTCAGCGCTGTTATCCAATGTTCGGCTGCTGGGGTGATGCTGGGGTGACTTGGCTCGCGCACCAACAGAGAGGGCTCTGTGTGCCTGCTGTGGCACTCATGCCATAGGTTCACCACCACTGGGCTAAAAGACAGAGCAGCCTCACCAAGAAACTCAAACTAGAATCTGTTTCTGAATCTAAAAACACACTTTGATAGCTAGCATTGGAGGAGGCTCCATGTTATGTGTCAAGTGCATTTGCTGAAGGAAGGCACTGGTAATAAAGAAAAAGAAAAAATGGAAAAATACAGAACTGACTGGACTTTAATGACAGTAGCATAATAAGAATAAAACAACAAAGTTACATTAACAATCTGGGAAAAATACAAAAACCGGGAAGTTAGAATTAATTATTATAGTCTTCAATATAAGAAAATTAAAAGAGCAAGAGAAGAAACTGTGGGGGTCATGTGCTAACATAAAAGTGAATTATTAAATTGAATAATTCAACATGATCTCTGCTATTTTCTTAATAAGCATAAATATTAGTAAGATTTCAGAGGTCAGTATACAAAATTGATAAATGTTGCTGGACATTTTCAATTATCAAAAAGGTACAGCTTCATAAGCTATACTTTCAAATCAGGTGTGAGGGGAGACACAGATGCAAACTTAGTAACAATTATCAAAAGAATCAAATGTGAAGGCTCAAAAGCTGTGAGCAGTATAGCAGGATTTTATCCAGGCAAATAATTTCTCAGATTTTAGGGGAAAGTTGAATGGGTACTGGTTATATATATCTCAGTTACCACAACTTGGCATGTTAGTGGGGAAGGTTTGAGTTAAATGAACCTTCCACTTCTCTAAAGAATTGCAGAAAAAGAGAGACTAAATCTTTAATCTGATGCACTTTCCTGGGAGTAACTCCCTTGTATGCAGTGGAACTTACTTCTAAATACACACATGCCAGATTCAGCAGCATACTTAATTTTGGATTCTGCACATCTCCCCAGACACAGAGTTTTCCATCAGTCCTCACTCCTCTTTGAAGGATAGCTACCATCATTTATAGCAGTTGGATAACATTCAGGCAGGTTACCCTTAGAGCAGTTCCACAATAAAATCCACATATTACCTTCCCTTTGTTGTAGGCCTTCTCTTACTTTAACATAAAAACAAGCCATTTTCAAATAGATCAGCTGGGTAATAATTACGGGGTGGGGGAGGGATCAAATGTAAACAGAAAAGCTGCTTAGCTCTTTCAAGAAGTATTTCTGATATTAGGTCTTTCTGTACATCCTCATTAAAAGAGGGAAAAACAATGTAGGGCCATGCAAATTATGCTCCATCAGGTGAAAATCTTGGTTGGCTATGCATTTATAACTATCCCCAATCACTAGCAAAAATGCACTAACAACTTCATAATGAGATATCATAATGCAATTGTAGATTCTCAGCTAATCACAGTTTCCTGTTTACACATTTCAGTCAACTTTTGGACAAAGAGGGTTTAAAAATAAACCTAAGAATGATTACAACATTTTATAGTAACTGAAAAACTAAGATAATAATTGTGTGGACTAAGTTATTAAAGAATAATATAGTTATTGTGGTATAATATTGAGCAGACTAGAGTTAATGTCTAGTGCTGGTCCAGATATTTAAGCTATCTCAACTGTGCTGGCAGAGGTGGACTGTGTCAACCCATCTTCTCACAGCAGCCATTTTACCTCCCTGAAAATGCTATGCATAGTCAGGAAACACTGCTGAACAGAGCAAACTGTGGGGGGAGGACACCCAAAAATTGAGCAAAGGGACCTTCCAAGAGGAGGCTTTGTTTATTTATTTATATATTATGGTCCCAGACCAGATAAATTAATAAGCAGATAAAATACCAATAGAAAAAAAAATAAAACACAGTTCACACAAGAATAATTTATACAATATTTTCACTCAAGTGGATGACATTTTCCTAATCTGCATTACAGTCATAAAAAATTTGGAGACATTTCCAGTAACATAAGAGGGTACAGTCCTTAAACAAAAAGATACCAGAGTGGAAGAATTAGTCCCATAAGGATCTGTTATTAATGGTTTAATCAATTTCTCTCTGCATTCCCTATAAAAGCTGCAATATAAGAGAACGTGTTCTACTGTTTCTACTGGTCCAGCACCATAAGAACACACCCATTCATTTACTGGGGTCTTGTTAAATTGTCCTTTTAACAGTGCTGATGGTACTACATTAAATTGGGCAAGAGTAAATGCTCTTCTGTACTTTGGGATAGATAGTGTGTACAGATATGGGGCTGGACTAAATCCAGCATTATAGCAGTTACTGCAGTTAAAATGAAATAATGAGGAACAAAGTTTTATTAGCAGTAGTTCTCAACTGTTGAAGATCCAGGTCTATTAATCTTTGTACAACAAGAAATTGGGACTTCTCCAGCCCATAATTGCCCAACACTTCCACAGAGAAACTTAGACTATGTAGTTTCTTGCCTATTTCTCTCATCCATCAGGTAATATACGTATCTGAAAGCAGTAAAAAAAGTTAGGAGAAGCAGCTAGAAAATGTAAACATAGACATCATTTAAAGGCTTGAATCCATGCTTTGCACTCAAAGATCGAATCCCTGTGCATTCAGCACAAAGGGAGGAAGGCCCAACAACTTCCTAAGAAAAACATACTGAACCTTTTGGGAATGAAATCCCAAAATCCAAATAGGGATGCTAAGGTCTTTTCCATGAATGGGTCCCTTCTTCCAGAAGAGATCAGCCCACTAATATAGTAGCCACTAGTTCATGAAAACTCATAAATGTTAACCTTTAAGGTGCTACTTTTGTTATTTTGCTGCAACAGACTAGAATGTATATGATTTTAAGATTAAGATAAACGATTTGACTTTTTCAAGAGGAAGGAATCTTCTTATGAAAGATCCTACCTCCCTGCACCACTTGCCTTTCTGACTCTGTGTGGCTTTATGTGACTAGCCACATCCTCCATCAGAACTTGTGGTGGTACCCACAGCAATTTCTCAAATTCCCCAGTGTGCCCATAGGTTTTAAAAGGCTGGGGACCCTGCTGCAGACAATTTAAATACATCAGTATTATGATGATTCAGCCATTCATCTACAGAAAGCACTTGTAAGTTATGGATGGGTCAGTCCTGAATATCCAATAGCTACTTCAATGATTTAAGCTAAGTGCCTTCTTAATGGTACTATGCTTTCCCCTAAGGTCCCTTATATAGAGCATTCAAATAACTGCAAGAAAGCTTAGTTCTCTAATCCAGAAAGCTAACCCAAAATAAAAGTTGTTTTCAGCATGGCAAGCAATGACTTGTGGTTATTAGTTGCTCTGTCCGTTTAGTCTTTGGCACCAAACTCCCCTTTGCCCCAGTTTCTTCCACTCCAAGGTCACTTTGCCTGCAGTGCTTCCATTTGTCAGCAGAATAGCAAGACCCAGAGGATTTTCCCATTAAAATGATTTTGCAAGTTTCTTGATTTAGTTCCAGGATGGCAGGTCACTGTTATAGAATGCACGAACAACAACAGTACACAGCAACTCTACTGCTCTTTCCAATATACACTCCAGAAACGTTCTTTCCCTTTTATTCTACACTATTTCAGGACACCTCATTTATATATTCTGTTCAAAGTGCAATTGCCATTTAAATACAATCATATGGAGTACACACTTTTTCACAACTGAAAAAAGACATATTTAGAAATATAGCAATACAAGGTCAGTACTTTTTTATAGGACAATACAATAGAGCTGATAGTCTCTACCTAACTTCATTTTTAAACATAATATAAATAGCAGTAGATAAATAATAATCATATTTAGATATATTTTGCAGAGGGTACATTTAGCTATCCTGGCTATTAGCCATTGAAAAATCCATTCTCTATTAACTTTTAGAAACATATGGGCTTTTTGTGGTGGATCACTGTGACTTTCTGTTTGCTCCTAGATACAGCATAAACTCCCCGTCATTACTTTCAAAGCCACCCACCCACGCTGTCTCTGTCATTATATCCCAATACTGCCTATGATCTTTGCTCCTCCAGCTCCACTACCTTCTAACCTTCAGCTCTGCCCTTTCTCTTGTTCCCTTGAAATTGCCTTCCAGAATACCTCGAGGAGGCAATTTCTTTCAAAGCCCACCTTTTCCATGAAACTTTTGGCTCAGCTCCTGAATTTTCTTGCCCTACTGTAAAACTAAGGCTCATCATTTGCATAATGATAAGCCACTGTTTATCCAAACACAGCTGCAGTATAGATTTAGATAAAGACATTACAATGCCAGCCGTTTTACTTTCAATTCCATGTGCACAATGTGCTGCAACTATAGTATGAGGTATCAGGAAAGTGTAAAAGTGGAAAATTATCTGCAATACCATTACATAAACATATGACACAATCACTGTATCACTATTATGGCATATTTCCTACCTATCTGGAGATAATTGCATGTTGCTTGTGATTTATTGAAGGTGCATTTCTGAAAATAATTTTTCATATACCAAATTACAAAAACAACTAGCCATCTTCAATGGATACTCTCAGCTATTAGAAACATAAAAACAGAGCGAGTCAGAAGGTGCCTCCCAGGCCATCTTGTCTGACCCCTGGCTCCAGCCAGCTCCACTCACGACATGCCCACCATGTGCATGTCTAGCCTATCCTTGAACACCCTCACTGATGGGGCCTCAACCACCTCCCATGGAAGCCCATTCCATACCCTTGGGGTCCTAACTGTCAGGAAATACTTGGTTCCCTGAGTTTCACTTGGTTGGAGTGCGTTCTGCCTTCCTCTGCAGGGTCTCTACCCACCTACGTGTGACACCCCCTCACTTACCTGTATGTCACCAACAGATCTCCACGGAGTCTCCTCTTGTCCAGGCTGAAAAGACCCATTTCCCTCAGTCTCACTTCATACAGCATCCCCTGCAAACCAGCCACCAACCTTGTGGTCCTATGCTGCACTGACTCTAACCTGGCTATATCCTTCCTGTAATGAGGGGCCCAAAGCTGAACACAATACTCCAGTTGCAGGTGCATCAGAGTTGTATAGAGTGATAGTATTACAACTACTCCCACTATAATCTTTATGTTTAGCTGGTTGTTTAAAAGATATAATTCAATAGGAATCTATTATACTATAGGGGACATTAAAACTTTCACTAGCTAAAATGGAAACAAATGGGCTATTGCTTCATGCTTACGAAACACTTAAAACTGAACTGCTAAAAATGAGCCGTTCTTTTAATTCACATCCATCCTAAGACTTCCAATAAATGTGTGCATTTAAGCATTACATATCATTATTAACACTGTAAACTTTACAATGTAAAGGCAGAATTCATAACTGTCTCAAATGCACAAACCCAAGGGAGAAAGAGGCAACTCAGTGGAGTACTTTTCCTTTCTGCCAGCTAGTTGCCACCCCCATGCCAACCTTTCTGCCAGCTGTCACCCCATGCTGACCATTATTCAGAATATGAGGTCTGCTTGTACCTGCTACCTCCACCCAACCCTCCCTCAAGGCCCAACAAAAGGTGACTGCAGGTCTGAGTGGATTTCCAGCTAGAGGACTGGAGGAGGCTATAAGACCTGTGCAAACTTCCCCTGGATGGCTAACAGCAGTCATGATACAGTGTACACACTTCTAAGAAAGGAGAGGAGTTTCACCAAGCCCTTCATGCTTTCATGAACTGCACTTTCATGAGGATGGATGAAGCCCTACATTCATTCATGGTATTTACTTATTGAATTTCTGCACCGCCCATTAGCTGAGATGGCAAAACTGTGTCCTTGTATTTAATAGTGGAGACACAGACTGCACTAGTTTAAAATGTGCCAGAGTCTGGTTCACTTCGTATACCTGGTTGCTGTGTATCAAAGTTTACCACTATATTTGTGAATATACTTCACAAATTCTGAAAGTGCAGCATTTCACAAAACCTAAGTCAAATATGGGAAAATGACTAAGATTTACCCAAGCCATTGAGAGGTTTTAATCTCACAGCTACTATATTTGAAATATCAATTTTGGGAAAGAGCTATTATTAGGAATAATGCACATGCTGGAAATCTAAGTTAAGGAATCCACATTTTTCTGAATACTAGGTTGGTAAAAACATTTCCTCCAGCATGTTTTCTTCTGTATTTTACACCAGTAATTAGCATTTGCTATAGCTTTAAAAGTAAAAACCCTACGGAAATAAAGCAATGACTTGAAGAATACCCAATAATTAGGTCATGTGTTCAATTAGCTTTCATGCTTAACTAGTTACTCTTTAGGAAATGCTCAGCCTTTGATGTACAGTAGCAGTGCACCACTTAATTAGGAAGAGGGTAGATAAGCAAGAGAGCAGGCTTCAGAAACCATATCAAAGCCCACACAGATATTTAATGAGGGGTTCGGCAGCATCAACATAAGACAACACAGAGAACGGTGAGGGAAGTGACTTTTCACTGCAGATGTTTCAAGTGAATAATCCAAATTACCTCAGATACTACAAAAACATTGTTGAGATGAGAATAAAGAAACATCTTAATGGATAAAATCACCACTATCCCTACTGCCCCATGGCACAGGCAACAATGTATCTTATAAATGTTACAGGAGAGGAGTTGTAGAAATAAAAAGTTACAATATTACTGAGCATTTAGATAGCCTATTTCACCAGTTTAAAGTGTTTCACATACATTATCTCAGTAACCCTTTACAAAAGTATAGTAAGCCAGAGCCACATTATCTGCTTTTAACGGCTTGGGTGATGCAAGCTGAGAGACTGAAGGCCTCTAACTACAGCTATATAGTGAGTTCAAGGCTGAGATGACATTTTGAATCAGGACATATGAATGAGCCATTGTTCCTCTTCAGCTCTCTGCTGCTTAAAGGATAAGGGCCTACTTTATACTGAGTCAAACCATCTAGATTAGTACAATTTACACCAGTCTTCCCCAACATTGTGCCCTTCTACAAATCCTTTCCCAAGCAATGGCCAAGTTAACTGGGGGTGTTGGGAGTTGAATGCGAAAACTGAAATTGTTTTCCCAAGGTTTCAGAGAGGAGTCTCTCCCAGCTCTACCTGGAGATACCAGGGATTGGACTGGGGAACTTTCACAGTCAAAGGCCAGTGCATTGCAGTGGTTAGGGTACTGGACTAGAACGCAGGAGACCTGGGTTCTATTCCCCATTTAACTGAGAAACTCAATGGATGACTTTGGGCCAGTCACTCTCTGTCAGCCTAACTTAAGACTACAGGGTTCTTGGAAGGATAAAATTAAGAGGAGAGACATGTGAGCCACCCTGGGATCCTTACAGGAAATATGTGGGACATAAATATAGTACATACATTAAAGTTTTTGGTAGATTCCAGTTCTAAACAGCAAGTCATCACAAATTACATGAAAATGCATAAGCATTTTAATCTCAAATTATATGAAAAATATAGCTGAGAAAATGCTTTAAATATCAGAATTTAGAATCATACAGTTGGAAGGGGCCTAGCAGGCCATCAGATCTAACCACCTGTTCAGTGCAGAACTCCTTTCACCCCTCCACATTTCAACCAGGCCCAATCCTGCATAGGTTCCAAGACTAGGCAGGATCAGGCACTTCAGGCTATATGGAAGCTGTGTAAAATACACTTTATTGTAAACCGTGTAAGTGAAATCATATAATTTCAAATGTATTTGCCATGCTAGAGGCTGGATATACAACAAGAAAAAAGCTTTTATTTTATTTATTGAATTTTAATCCTGCCTCATTAGGCTCCTTCTTTAGGGTTATTTTAATCAAACATGAGATATATCTATACAGAAAGAACTTGGAAGATACACTGAAAGCAGATGTTGCGGTCACAATCAACAGTTACGCACACATATTCTATGGGTTCATATGAGTTTGGAAGGCACAATTAGATATGGCTTTTCAATAAATGTGTCTGCACCAAAAATATACCCATGTAGAAATACCATGCAACCATCTCAGATGCACACTATTTCCTATTCAGAAATACTTTCCATGCAGAAATTTAGTCATGTTTGAAGTACCTCTTGTTTATTTCTCTGTTCCTTTCTTCATTCTTATGCATTCAATCTCTTTAAAATGACTAATGCATTTGAGATATGTAGGGGGAGGTGGTTAACTGACCACATAATTGCTCATTCTACTCTTTCTGGATGAATCAGTTCTGTTCTTTTATTCCCTGGCTGCTGTTTAATAACAGTGAAAACCAAGGGGAATTCAGTTAATCAAGGACAATGGAAATCAAGTCTAGGGTGGAAAGGAGTGTTCCCTGCATTTAACGCTTTATTGAACTTTTAGCGTATGAAGGCTTATTTAAAGAGCAATATGTAGTCTTGTTTCAATAACCAGGGCTGCTTTCAAATGGTCTTATTCATTCTTAAGCAGTACATTCCCATCCTTTGCCCCCTTGTTCTCAATTCTGCCTTCACCAAGGCTTGTACTGCAAAGACAGTGCTATCTACCTCAGCAAGAATTGAACTACTTTAGATGTGCTGAAATATTTAGTTGCGATTCTCTATAAATATAAAATATCAAGCCCAGGTATGGGCAAAAGGTAGATTAGGATTCTACTAGGAGATCTCTGGGTGGACACATAGATTAGCAAGGATTTTGGACCCCTAGGTTTTTAAGAACAATAGTAAGAAAATGATTTCCTGCCCAAAAAGAAATGGTACTGCTCCATAAGTTTTGCACTAGGCTCTAATTGGTGGATCTGGGGACTCCAATAAATAAAGTAGATTCTCCTAAGTCTGCTAATCCTTTAACTCAAGGGTGGGTGGATTCAATTTTATGGGAACTACTTATTAGATTCGGAGGTCCACCAACTGGAGCCTTGTTTAAAAAGACATACATTTAGAATTAAAAGAGTTCTAAGCCCTGGAATTTGTTTAGTGTGCCGTAACTGAACAGAGCTCAATATCTTTCCCTACAAAAATTCACTCTTGGTTATTCTTCCAGATTTCTTCATTTTAGTAGTACAACTGAGTGTGTGTGTGGGCAGGGGGGGTCATTTTGCTATTGCCTTTATTAAATAAGTGGAAACTGAAATCCTTGATGAACTGTTGCAAGAGATTTACCAGTAGTTGCAGATCTACAGTCTGCACAGCCCTGCTTTAAACACTAAGCACACTTATTGGGGAGGTTATTGGTGCTAGTAACTGAGAAAACACAAAAGATTTCACACTGCCCAACTCTGTATAACCACAGAGCAAGAATATGAAGATGGCTGGTCACAGATATTAATGTCCTTGGATCCCTTGAACAAGAATCTAACTTCTCCTACATTCCATAATAATTGTTTAAGCAATACAAGATGCTAATGCTAAGCTTGGTACAAAAAAGGTCATTCCAAATTAAAAAGACACATGCTACATTTTATTTTCGTCCATCTTCCATATCCAATACGAAATAAGCATTACAAAAATGTCAGCTTTTTCAGGGCTGACTGCAATGTTTCTTTCAATCTACACAGACTTCCTCTCTCTCCTCTCCTGAGCACTGTCTTGCTGTATAAATAAAAATGTGTTTGACATTACTGGCCTCCTCGCATGGGCAGAGCAACTTTTATTAAGCATACAGCCAAGGCCCCCAAGTAGCAGACCTATTCTTCTTGTTGTACGTCACCTTCTGTACAAAAGAACCCTCTGTATTTGGCAGGCGCAAACTTATTCCTTTACTATGGTCATCTTTGGAGCACAGCTTGCTGCAGTCATCTGCTGTTTCATTCGTTCATTTCCACGTTGTCAGCATGGGAAGTTCTGTTATTTTCCCCAATAAGTGAACAGTAATGGAACTGTGAGGGAGGGTACTGCAGTGAATGAAGCCTGCTAGCACTTGCAAGCTGAGCTCTTTACACCTAGCTCAGAAAATCCATCTAGATAAGCTCCTAGTCTGAACTCAAATGCTATTTAATTTAGTCCTGCTTCAAACATTAGGATTTTCATACACAAAAACAATGTGTGGGTGGGTGGATGGAGCTGGGGTGGAGTCACATCTATGGCTGTCTTACCAAGATCGGGCACGTGGCTTTCATGAATTTTCCTACAGCAAAATGCTTTCTAGGTTAAAAAATCATAAATGTCTAAAGCAGCACCTGAGCATGCCTGAGTGTGTAAGAAAGCTGTGGTCAAACTGCCAAACAGACATAACTAAGTTGTACATGTGGTACCATCTCAAGTGCACATCTGCAGAGCTACTATGTTAAAGGCTAAACTCTGCCTTAATGGGTGTGCAGAACATTTCCTGTTTCTAGAAGAGAATATTGATGCCCACTCGATACAGGGAGCTCTGTGGCATGTACTGCTGGAACTTGGTTATCCTCCTTTATAAAATCAATACAATATTCTTTTCAAGATTTGGAGAATCGGTGGAAAAATAGCATGGAGCATATTGTTATCTAAAAGATGCAGTGAACACTGGAAATGATCCTTAAGGTGCCTTTTGAAAATTGTAGGATCACTGTCAGTGTTCGACAACACTCTGGTCATGTTTTTAACCCATCAATCAATCAACTGATTAAAATGAGAATCACGTCATTTCAACTCAGGCTATATTTAATCAGTGTTACAGTTTCTGTTGATTAAGTAACACAGACAAATTTATCCTTAGCAAAATTATCTTGACCACATTGACTTCAGCAGTGTACACACATTGTTTATAGAACTGCCATCAGCACTGAACTTCATCAATTAAAATCCAATTAAAAACCCACATTTAAAGGGTATGATGAATGAACTAACTGCTTAGTTGCACCTATTAATCTACCAATGATTTCAGACTTGGATGCCACTGGAGGAAACCTCACAACACAAGGGAACACTCCAGTTTTGAAATGCCTTATGTGATGTTTTTCTTTCTTTCTAGAATGAATACACTGATGGTAATGGTAAAAAAGGCCAGAGTTTCCAGTTTTCTAAAAATAAACTGGTTTACACCTGGGATTGGAAAATACTGGTTTACAGAAACTTTCTAAAAACAACTAAAATGCAGTTACTTTTTGACACATGCATCAGGTTTCTGAGGGACAGTATGCTGTGTCTGAACTTCCTTCTCTCCCAAAAACAAATCCAAGACCCAATTTCCGAGCCTCCTTTTGCCAAACAAAACTTCTCGGACAGAAAGGAGATGCAAAGAGGCAGGGACAGTCTCTTATTACATTTTCAAGGCCTCAGAAATATGCAGCTGAAAGTAGTGAATGACAAGAAAAGGTTTTGATGAACAGTCCAAATCTGGAATTACTTCAGTGATGAACAGGAAGATGATATGTAGAAATCCCGAAGGGCACAGAAGGAGTGAATATATGTGGCAAATCAGAGCAAGAATAGGAAGTCTACACTTCGATCTACTCTATGGTCCATAGATCCTGACTGCCTTTGATCTATTTATTATACATTACATTTGATAAAACAAGCCTTGTGGAACATATTAGGAATATCTGAATAATGAAAATTCCATGCTTCCATTTTTTTCCTCCTGCTGAAGAATACTTTAGTGAGTTACAGTGCAATCCTACTTATGTCTACTCAAGTCCCATTGAGTGCAGTTAGATTTATTCCCAGGGTTGTAAGTCTTAGTGGCTTTTTGTGCTTCAAAGTAATCTGAGATTTGAAAAGACCATTCAGAAATTGATTTAATTAATTTTATTTGATAACTACAAGAGGCAAAGCTGAGTCCATTACTTCTTTGCTTGAAACAGTATCATCATCATCATCCTCATTGCTATACTGCCACACAGCTGAAACTCTCTGGGAGAGTTACAACAGTCCACAAAAAACAGATAAGATACAATAAAATATAACAACAGAAGAAACATTAAAAAATTAAAATAGCTAAAAACCGACAATGGCAAAAATGATTTTGTAAAACATATGGAAATATCCTTCAAGCCCCTGGGTGGCCAAGTTAGCCTTTAAAAGAGCAAGAAAAGAGGGCCATCTTGACCTGGGGCCCAAATATGACAAATTCAGCAGCAGCCAGGCCAGTGGGGGAAGGGTTGTTCCAAAGTCAGAGGGTCACCACACTCTTTGTTGCCACCTTCCAAGTTTCCCTTGGAGTTGGCACTCGAAGAAGGTCCCAGAGGTTGTACACAGTGTTTGAGCAGATTGATGTTGGGAGAGGCACTCTGACAGGTATTGGGGTCCTAACCAGGATAAGTCTTTATAGGTTAAAGCCAGCACCTTGAATTGGGCTTATAAGCATACAGGTAGCCGATGCAAGTGGGCTTGAACCAGTATTATGTGCTGGGACCTGTGGGTCCTGGTTATTAATCAGGCTGCTGCATTCTGCACCATCTACAGCTTCTAAACAGTCTTCAATGGCATCCCCATGTACAGTGCATTGCAGTAATCTAATTAAGAGGTTACCAGAAGATAGATTACTGGAGCCAGGCTATCCCTGTTCAGATAGGGATGTGGCTCCAAAGTTGTTAGAAGGCACTCTGAGTCACCAATGCCACCTGAGCCTCAAGTGACAAGGATGGATCAAGGAGCACCTCCAACCCCCCAACAGGTTGAACACCCCCCATCTGGCCCAAGGAGTGAAACACCAGAAGCATCTCAGACTTGTCTTGATTGAGTTTCAGTCTGTTAGCCCAGAATGAAAAGGACCTGGAGTCCTTTTGTGTAAGGGATTAGCACAACATGTCATAAGTAACCTCACAAAAAACAACTGCTTAGTCAAGCCACACTTGATTCATTCATAATGATTAGAAATACATATCTACCAAGTACTAACATGCAAAAGAGAAAAAAAAGAATTGCTTGGCTCAAGTAATTCTTGGAGCATTTCTTTTTCCACTATTAATAAACAATAACCAATTAAATGCCAAAATACTTCATTTGATAGTCCCTGCAGGCAGCTGAATAAAATGCATAATTCTAACTAGAACTGCTTTAATTCAGACATTTTGCAGCCTTTCAGTTGAAATGGGAATTTTGCTGATTTTCCAGTATGCAACAATGAACATTTTAGCCACTGTAAATAAATGTAATACTATGGCTAACCAGTTTACAGTTAAGCTGCTTAAATGCCCTGTAAAACAGTGAGATGGAATCTGTGACAGAATGCAGTTAAATATTATCAATGGCTAACATTAATAATATAACCGGGTCTTTGAATAGTTTAAAGCTCCAGTGCTTCGCAGATGATGTGTGTGAGGGCATGAGGCTATAGATGGGAGGCCAATGACAAGATGCACAAACATTCCTCCGTTCACTCTGTACATTGAGTGTCCTTTTCTCAGGGTGGACTGGACTAGGATCATAAATCCCCTGTGGAAACATAATGTGTGACTTCCAGAGGAGAAGCTGAGAATATTGGGACTTGTACTTCCAATCTAAGCCCTGATGAGGAACCCCCCTCCCCCGGAACTGGGAATGCTCTTGGCTTTCCCTGTCCCCTAATAAGACACTGGGAAGCTTTGGGGTAGGGAAGCAGGGATGACGGCCTGGGACCAGAGTGACTACAGCCCTGCTCAACAATTTGAGTGCCCTTGATCAAATGCTCAAAGCAGCCATAGTCAACACTATCAAGATTCAAAGTCACAACCAAGAATTAGCAAGTGAAAGTGCAAGACAAACTATGTCACAAGAAGACAAAAAGCAATGTAGAAAGCAAGACACTACATGGCTATTAAAGTGCATCTAATATACATATAAAAACCATGGAATGTATGGTACTTAGAGGACATCGGCCCATTATACAACCAAGCAAAACAAAGGAAATGAATAAGTAGCACAAGAGTGGGCAGTGAAACACAGGACTGTTAAGCAGAACAAAGATACATGGCCTTTGATTACATACAGAATACTCACCTCTAACTAATTGCAGCCACTCTACCACTTTTCTTTTAAAAGTAAACCTTATACAGATTAAATACAGATTATACAGATTAAAGTCCCAGCACCTCTCTGTGTAGAAACTCAGCATTAACTCCACCAAACCTCATTCAGAAAACATTACATTCTGTTCTTCATCACACAGCAAACTACATCTCTTTCACCTGAGGTACCATCAGTTTCTCTTTTTCACAGCTCCTAAGCCTATCATTTTTGTTATGGGCAAACTCTCCCTAGCTTATTTTCCCTCCCCCTGGTTTAATTTGTGCTAACAGTTCACAAACTCTAAGCCCAGTTATCCATTTTACTACCAGAGCCAAGCCTTGGAATACAGGAAGAAAAGACATCTGAAAATATGCAGAATACCTCTTCCTGATCACAGAAAAGCGCTAGTGTTTTTTCTCACGTGATTCAGTAAGAGGCTGCCTCTGAACACATGTATAGATAGGGTTTTCAGTGCAGTGCATGATAATTTCCTTCCACAAAGCAAGACACTCCTGATTTCTTACCTGATGGGAAAACCCATCCCCAGCTTTTTATTCTAGCAGCCAATTCACAAAAAATGTATTTCCTTATAAATTACCAGCATGCCACTTTTATTTTTTAATGCAGATTTTGATTTTGGGAAGGGGTGAAAGGGAGTGAACAATGTTGACAAAACCCTGGCTTGAGGAAATGCTGCATAAACCGTTAACATTTAAACCTGAAGCCTTTCTATTAGGTATTGTTCCTGATAATTTTGATGAACAAACTATATATCTGACTATCTATCTATCTATCTATCTATTTATTTATTTGAGGTTTTTATATGCCGTCCCCATTGCTACACAGCCTCAGGATGGCTCACAACAACAAATAAATAAAACATATAGAATTACAATTACAATTAAAACATGGAAACACACTGGCTGCATAATTAAAACTATAAATATCAAAGATTACTACAGTACTGTTTGAATAAAAAGGTCTTGGCCTGGCACCGAAAAACAAATAACGACGGCACCAGGTGGACCTCTCTGGGGAGCGCATTCCACAGATGGGGCGCCACTGCAGAGAAAGCCCTCCTCCGGGTACTTTGCTTCCTGATATCTCTTAGGGAAGGCTCCCGGAGGAGAGCCCCTGCTACCAATCTCAAGGGGCGGGAGGGCAAATATGGCCGCAGGCATTCCTTCAGGTATCCGGATCCCAAGCCGTTAAGGGCTTTATAAGTAATTACCAACACCTTGAATTGAGCCCGGACTTCGATGGGAAGCCAGTGAAGCTGGTTGAGGACTGGGGTTGTATGAGAATAATGCCCAGTCCTTGTCAGCGACCTGGCTGCTCTATTTTACACCATCTGAAGTAGCCAGACTGTCTTCAAGGGCAGCCCCACGTAGAGCACGTTACAGAAATCCAACCAGAAAGTAACCAATGCATGTGTCACTGTCGCTAGGCAGTCATCCTCCAGGTAGGGATGCAGCTGATGGATCAGCCAAAGCTGATGGAAAGTGCTCCTCGCCACCGCCGACACTTGAGCTTCCAAAGTCAGCTCCAGGTCGAGGAGCACTCCCAAGTTGCGGACCCTATCCTTTAGAGGGGGTGCAACCCCATTCAGGACAAGATCCAAGTCACCTACCCAGGAGTTCGAACCACCTACCAGCAGGACCTCCATCTTGTCTGGATTGAGCTTCAGTTTATTGGCCCTCATCCAGCCCATTACCTCGACCAGGCACCGGTTCAGTACAGCCACTGCCTCACCTGGATTGGTTGAAAAAGAGGTAGAGCTGGGTATCATCAGCGTACTGATGATTCCACAGCCCACACCTCCTGATGACCTCTCCCAGCAGTTTCATGTAGATGTTGAAGAGCAAGGGGGACAGAATAGACCCCTGCAGAACTCCATGGCATAACTGCCATGGCACAGAGTTAAAGTCCCCCAGCACCACCTTCTGGAATCGGCCATTGAGGTAGGAGCGGAACCACTGCAAAGCAGTGCCTCCTACTCCCAGTCCCCTTAGCCTATCCAGAAGGATACCATGGTCGATGGTATCGAAACCTGCTGAGAGGTCCAGGAGAACCAACAGGGATGCACTCCTCCTGTTTCTCTCCCTGCACAGGTCATCATACAGGGTGACCAAGGCAGATTCAGTACCATACCCAGGTCTGAAGCCGGACTGAAATGGGTCCAGATAATCAGTCTCATCCAAGAGAGCTTGGAGTTGTCCCACCACCACCCACTCCAGCACCTTGCCCAAAAACGGGATGTTGGCCACCTGTCTATAACTGGCAGCCATCTCTGGATCCAGGGATGCCTTCTTTAGGACCGGCCTGACCAGCGCCTCCTTTAGAGGGGCAGGCACCTGGCAGTCCTTCAAAGAGGTGTTGATGATCTCCCGGATCCAGGAACCAACCCTGTGTTTGGCTTTGGATAGTAGCCACGATGGGCAGGGGTCCAGTACACAGGTGGTGGTATGTACTTGTCCAAGCACCTTGTCCACATCATCAGGCCGCAATAACTGAAACTCATCCAACAATGTGTGACCAGACGGTAACATTGGCACCTCTCCTAAGGAATCTGAGTCACTAGTGGAGTCCAGCTCGTGACAAATCTGAGAGACTTTCTCCTTGAAGTGCTGGGCAAAGTCGTCAAAGAGAGTTATCGAGGGAGGTACAGGATCTTTCTTGGGGCCTGGTTGTACCAGCTCCTGTACCACCCGAAAAAGTTCCGCTGGACGGCACTGTGAGGAGGTAATGGAAGTGGAGAAGAATTTCTTCTTTGCCACCCTCACCACCACAGCATAGGCCCGATAATGGGCTCTTAAGTGTGTTCGGTCAGATTCATCCCGAGATTTTCTCCACCTATGCTCTAGTCATCTCCCAAACTTTACATATAACTACTGTGGTGAGGATTGCATTTGCTCAACACTGGAGAAGCGAAGAGCCACCTAATGAAGAGTTGATTTTTAAAAAGATCTTGGAGTGCGCAGAGATGGACAGATTGCCTTTGTCTTTGAAGGAGAAGGAAGATACAAACTTTTATCAAACTTGGCATATATTTTATCATTGGTTAGAGAAACGGGACTATGCGTAGAATTGAATATAGTTCTTAAATGTGAAAAAAAGAGCATGATGTCGACCCAGTATATCCAACGTCCTGAATAATTGTTGTTTTTAGTTTTGGATTTATAGAGAAAATAATAAAATTTGTTTAAAAAAAAGATAAGAAAAACCCTATTTCTTTAGCAACTGTATGAATTTCAAAATGGGAACTTAAATCACTTTGATTTAAATCAAGATGGGGAACATGTAATCCTCAAAATGCAAATGAGCTGCCACACCCAACATCCCACATCACTGGCCACTGAATTGGAATCCCAACATCTGGAGGGTAACAGGGTCCCTATTACTAATTTATTTGATCCTATCTGCTTGTAAGGTCCGCAGCTTGGGAGTGCTCCTCGACCCAGAGCTTTCATTGGAAGCTCAGGTGACGGCGGTGGCGAGGAGTGCTTTCCTTCAGCTTCGGCTGATCCATCAGCTGCGCCCCTACCTGGAGTACGACTGCCTGGCGACAGTGACACACACGTTGGTGACTTCCCAACTTGACTTCTGTAACGCGCTCTACGTGGGGCTACCCTTGAAGATGGTCCGGATACTTCAATTGGTTCAAAACAGAGCTGCCAGGCTGCTGACGGGGACTGGGTGTTATGTTCACATGACTCCAGTCCTCCGTCAGCTTCACTGGCTTCCCATTGAAGTCCGGGCCCAATTCAAGGTGTTGGTGATGACCTATAAAGCCCTAAACGGCTTGGATCCTGGCTACCTGAAGGAGCGCTTACGTCCATATATGCTCTCCCGCCCCCTGAGATCTGCAGGAGAGGCCCTTCTCCGGGAACCCTCCGTGAAGGAAATTAGGAGGTTAGGTACTCGGAAGAGGGCTTTTTCTGCGGTGGCGCCCAATCTATGGAATGCGCTCCCCAGAGAGGTCCACCTGGCGCCGTCGTTGTTTTTCGGTGCCAGGTGAAGACCGTTTTATTCAAACGTCATTTAAATTGCTAATATTATTTTATTCTTTGGCCAGGGCAACTTATTTTATATTGTTAATTTGTTTTATATTTTTAGTGTATTATATTTTAATTAATGTTTTGCGAGCCGCCCCAAGGCTTCAGCGAATGGGGCGGCACAGAAATTTTCCAAATAAATAAATAAATTATAAATGCCATTTCACAATTAAATGCTACAATTACTAGCAATACCCTCTTCTGTTGTTTCCATCTTCCCTACCTTAGTGATATCATGCATTGCTTTACAGTACAACATTCTCCGTGATGCTGCCCTTAAAAATGGCTTGGAAACACCAGCTTCTCCCAAGCCAGGATACTGACATTTCCGAAACAAATATGCCATAGATTCTTTTTCCTTCTTTGTGAACTGGCATTAGGCCAGAGTCCCCAGTTCAGTGGTAATGAGAGCTTCTGGATTAATACAATCTAGATTTTTCATATCAAAACTGGAGCACAACGCAAGGAAAAATCAGCCCTAAACCTCATTTCTGGCTTTGTAAATAATATTATCTAAAATGTAGAAGTATTATCCAAACTGACTGGAGAATCACTGACAATATTTAGGATTCATACAAAAAGGCAGCTAAAAATAGTTAATTGAAAAAATGTTTAGATATTGTCCTTTATCCAGTTTGAACTTCAAGAAAGCAGGCACTATGAAATGACTAGAATAAAAGAGAACAACAAAAGTAAAGCAAGCAGATAAAATCCTCAAAAATAACTAAGATCTGCACAGATTACTATGCCTAGGAAAATAAAAATGTGTACAAAAAGTGTTATAATGTTGCCACTACTTGAATCTTCACAGGGAGGGCACCACTACCAAGAGTGGTTTCTCCCTTCCGGTTGAATGAATATCATATTCAGTAAGAATAGTGGAGGCACTTAAAGAATTTAAATTTATTTAAATCATTACTTTAAATCAGCAAGAAAAAGTCTAATCATAAATCATCCATTTAAATAATATTTTGTATCCTGAAATACATGCAAGTCCTGAATAAGCGCACCTCCTAACTGGCTAGTGTAACAATTGAAGGGTTCTGATGTGGCTTAACAGATCCATGCAAAATCTCACCTTCCGTTCCCCAGTACACGTCCCAAGCTTAGGTTCTTCTGCACCGTGGTTTCTCAAGTATAAACCAGACATGTCTTTTATCATTTCTTATCATTTTATCAACTGATAAGGTCGGCCTCACCACTAAGTAATTTTATGATTTTCTATTATTATCAGACCCCCGCCCCCGCAACGGGTAAACCTCCAGAAACCATAGGATTGTTTGGAGTATTTCTCCTGAGGTCATCCACACTGCCAGTCCCCCCGCTTTACTTCTTCACAGCCTTCATGGAAAGAACCATGCTGATAGTTTCCTACGGTCACAGATGTGGCCCTGGAGGGAGAGAAAAAGGAGTTGTTCCAGTGTGCAGGCTGGGCAGTGGAGAGGAGAGACCAGGATGGAAGAAATATAGAGGAACACTGTTTAAACAGAGCCCTGAGAGGTGGGAAATCACTCTTCCCACCCTGCTGACAGCAACCCAAAAACCGCATCTGTCTAAATTCTGTTTTTATATTGAAACGGTTAGCTGCATTGTTTAAAAGGGAATTTCTCACCAATAGTTCCACACAGGGAGAACAGCAGTTTTTCCTGATTGAAAAACAATCTGGGCATGGCAGTCAATTACAGTACTATGAGTACTTGTTTTAGTATTTTTATGAGTGTTTTGTTTCATTGTATTTTATAGGGCAACCCAGTGGTTTCCAAGGGAACACTGTGATGTCAAAGTATTGTAAATATCCAATGATCTCTCAGAAGACACCTGGCGAAACAGAATCGACAGACGAGATCTCTGCCCTTCTGTTCCTTTTCTTAATACGTAGTGTGGTTGCAAAGGCAAGGGAATGGACGGGAACTGAGAGGCTGAAGAACCCTGCTGAATCTTACTCCACCCCACTCGCTTCCCTCATTGGCTTCCTCACCTCACTTCAGATCTCCAGTTCTGAGTAAGGAAGAAACTACAGTGCTACAAACTATAAGGGTTAGGAAGAAACAATCCCTGTTCAGAACTCTCTTCTCAAAGTCAGAGGTTCCTGGACCTTAGAGGGAGAAATCTGAAATATCCACTGGCCTCTTGGGTGCTCTTCCTCGATGTAATTTTAAATGTATTTTAATTATTTTCTTAGATATATTTTAAAATATAGTCAGCACTAAATATATTTATTAAATGAATTATATATACACTATGTCACCCTCTAAAATTAAATGTCTTTTGCTACTGGTTCATTCTTTTTACATGGAAAGAGCAGGCTTTATGCAGTGAATTTCTTGAATTTATCTTCTTGAATTCTACAAATATCTATTTAAAGAATTCATCTTGAAATATGCATGTATATGTTTCAATATATTACCCTGTTTTAAATTCCAATTTCATTTTAAACTAAGGCTAGAACATTTGATATGATTAACCCATGTTTTATTCTAATAGAATTGATTATTCTAAATAATTTCTGAAGCCTACTCAACACATGAACATAAAGTCAGCCTTTTAATAGTAACTGTTTCACTCCCATTGCAGTAGCAGCAAAGAACAAGCATCTGAAATTGGGTCAAGCATGAGACTTTAATGATCTTCAGACTGAAGCTTGAAGTGATAGCCAGGAGCATCCATTCTTGCAGAATGCAGGCTACACTTATTAGTATAGGTACGTTCATGTTCTAATTATCTCCAGTATTTAAAACATTAGTCCTAAATCTCACTTCAACAATGCTGAGATATATTTTAAAAATCTAGCAAACCAGCTCTTCATTTATTAACAACCTGCATAGATTTCTTAGAAGGCTTTGCTCACTTTGTCATTCTAAATACTCCTAATGTTCAGCAGCAGCTATTTCAGTACCTCAAGCTACCATATAAAAACCTAGTAAGTAATCAAGATATTTATGATCCACAAGAAATATTACTGCTTTTTAGAAATTGTTCAGGCCAAAAAGGAAGTTTGTCAAACTGAAGAGCATTTAAACACTTTGGAATAAAACGATAAAACATCTTATGATACTTGCCAGCTATAAAGGAACACACAAGGAATTTTGGAAGTTACCACACCAACATATTTTTTTAAAAAGTTCTGTTTACCCACCCATCTCTCTCTCTCTCTCTCTCTCTCTCTCTCTCTCTCTCTCTCTCTCTCTCACACACACACACACACATACACACACACACACAAACACACACAAAGCTGGAACACATATTCCATGTCTAGTTATAAAACCATGAACCAAGTATATTTGTTGCTCTTGGGGGTGCTAAATAATCCACCTAATAACGAGGTCCAGCGAGAGGAAGTTTATAATTCTGAATACCGATGCAGCACAAATAAACCCTATGGTGCCTCCAAAAGAAAACTTGCCTAATTATGCATTATCTACCTTACAGGTTTTCCTACAGATTGCATTAGAACATTAGACCAGGCATTATGTTTACAGCAGAAGTACAAGGTGACATGCAGCTTTCTGCTTCACAACTGAGAATTCCCTTCCCCTCCTTCAGCTGGGTAACAACTGCCATTGGTACTCTGGGGAACTTCCTCAATGGCACAGACTTTCAGTGTAACTGTTTCTTCAGGGGAACAACAGTGTGAAAAAAAGGTGCATGATTCATTACCACCTCAAGTCACTTGCCTAAGCCAACAGAGCAACCCTGTGCATGACACACACACACACATCTTTCTGTGTACAAATTATACAATATGGGAAGTAGTTCTCATGATCTTGCTGCTGACTATAAAGTGCTCTGCATATCATGGAGCTGATTCAAACAATGTGGCATCTTCATGTGCCTAGCAGGATACCAAAATGAAAGGCTAGCACCAAAGCAAAAAGGTAGGGTCACCAATGGAGCAGTATACACAGTCTGTTATTTCTGGTACCATTAAAAGAATAAGCAGTCACATTACCAAGGACTGGCAGAAAGAGACTAAATCAGTCCAGTAATGACAGATACTTGAACATGGAGAAGTGATGTATACTCCTTTTCTTATCCTGAACTATACTCAAGAGAGAGGGATGCAGTGGAGCAGTGGGTTAAATTGCTGAGCCGCTGGGCTGGTTGATCAAAAGGTCGACAGT